TTAAAGGGCTGAAACTTTAAAATAAAACCCTAATTTGAAATTGCGGTCAAGGATCTCAAAATTTCAAATTTTCAACCCACGCCCCTGCCCCCAAAATTCATCCAAACTTCTTTTTTTTTTTTTTCATTTAAGAAGTACCTGGGGGCGGGCTCATCGGCGCAGCCCCCAAAATCCGCGAGCGCTGCTCCAAGCAGCAGCAACGGCGAGAGAACTGCAGTTCGCCACCGCTGCTGCACAAATCTGTAGCGGTAGCAGCAGCGCCTGCTGCTGTTGAAAGATCTCAGTGGCGGCGCCGTTGCAGCCGCGGCGTCACCCACAATTTATTTTGTTTTTAAAATGCAGCGTCGTCCACAATTTATTTTGTTTGTTTTTAAAAAAAAAAAACACTGAAGCTGAAAATCTTGAAAAACCAACCGAATTATTTTCAAATTTAACAAAACTAAATCCGAAGTAATTAAATTTGAAAACCATGAAATTATACAAGAAATCAGATAAATTTTTTTTTTATTTCCAATAATTTAACATGAATAGGCTCTGATACCACTTGTTGGAACTTTATTAAACTTAACCTTTATGCTCTTGCCAAGATCTTCATGTCAAACCATCAAGAAACTGAATTAACGCGGAACATACCTTAATCATTGTAAATCTTCAGTTTGGTTGTTTCAAACATCCTTCTTAATTCCTGATTGTGGGGTTATGGATCTTTATCTTCATATGATTTCTCTTGTATTCTTGTGTTGATGGGATGCCACAAAAAATGAGAAAAAAATCACATGAATTGGGGACCATAACCCTTTATATATTTCCATATATATTCGGCTCATCGTCAAATTCAAACCCTAATGGATCCGGTCTCTACACATATAGTCCGGCCCACACTTTATTTAGATCTTTAAAGCTCAATTACATAATTCCTTGTTAGATCACTTTAATTTTGGGCTTAACTTTAAGATAGCATTTATACACAATTAATTACATATGTCGATCCACATGCAAATTAAATAATTTCCCAACATTCTTGTGCATTTGTACTCGATAGTCATTCTTGATTAGGCCTGGAAAAGCTTTATATTCATCTATTAATCTAACCGGTAATTTTCGTATTTTTCAAGTGAACGAGTCTTGCGTTCAACATATCTTTTGTCTCTACACTCGAAGACCAATTTCTATTAACTCGATATAATTTTGACACCTCAGACTTTGTATTAGGCCTCAATAATCAGTTAAATATGGAAATAATATTGTCAAAATAGTTGGCTATACGAAGAAGGGCAATTACTGAAAAACAGAAAATATGTTTGCCGTGCCTGTCGTTGCTTGCCACCTGCTTTAAGAAATTTTCCTGTCCAAATTTATGATCAACTACCCCACGCTGGAAAAATTATATTTAATAGGAACAATTGTTTATATATTTAATTTTTTAAAAGTGAAAATGGTATAATAGTTTAAAATATTTTCTTGGTTCAAATTGATTCAACCTCATTTTATAAAACTCATTTTTCTCCAAATTCATTTTTAACTACAAATGTTCTCAAAAAAATAATTTTATACGTAAATCTAAAATTTATCCCTATTTCTCACTCACAAATTTTCAAAAAAAATCACTTTTTACAAAATTAAACCTCTGTTTGGTAGGCATTTTTGTCGAGAAAATGTATTTTTTTGGTTGATGTGATGGAGAATATGTGATTAAAAAAGAAGGAAAAGTTATTGATGTGATGAAAAATATTATTTTATTGAAAAATGTGTGGTTGAAAATGAGTAGAAAAATGATAATGAAAAATATAATCTGGCTCAGACACGGGCAAATTCTAAAAAAATTGGGCTTAGGGGCTTAGATAAGAAGAGAATTAGAGCCTATTTGGTACAGATTCTCATTTTTTACAGTAAATCAATTCTCATTTTCAATCACGCATTCTTCAATAAAATAATATTTTCCATCACATCAATACTTTTTCTTCTTTTTCAACCACACATTTCCCATCATATCACTATTNTTTTTTAACCACACATTTCTCATCATATCACTATTCAAAAATCAATTATTCCCCCAAAAATTCATACCAAACACACTCTTAGTCATAAAGTTTAGGTGGGGTTGATAATTGATAGTGACCCATATATTAATAATGTCTCACTTTGGTCTCTTCTAGATAAGAAAATACATTAATACACTAACTTATAATCAAGAATGAGTACAAAACAGAAGTCAAAAGAGGAATCCCAAACATGTTAAAGAGAGATACGCGTGCCATTAGCTATGTGTTTGATTTACATTTGCTTTTTGTAAATTGTAATTTATAAATGTAATTTCAGTTACATCTTTTGCACATTAGAATCTTCAAGATTGAATTAGATAATAAACAATATTGTTTGTATTGCCATTCTTCTTTTACAATTTTCAACTCTGTCCAGTTCAACATACTAAATATACTAACAAGAACATATGTTTAATAAAGCCAACATCTCTGTAATACATAAAATTTGATCAATCGTGAGTGATTGTATATATCCACTCTTTAATACTATTCAACTACGTTAACTTAGTATACTGAGTATATCGAGAATCCCATGTTTTCTTAATCGAAAAAAATGGGTGGTTTTTTTCACTCTTCATGTAATGAAATAGGAATGACCAACATATGTATCTAATTAGTGATAAATGTGTGTGTGCAGGCAGTTGTGGCCAGTCTTGCAAACAACGATGTGATGATAGTATTAGACAATCACATAAGCAAGCCAGGTTGGTGTTGCAGCAATTCTGATGGAAATGGCTTCTTTGGGGATCAATATTTCAACCCTGACCTATGGATAAAGGGCCTAACCAAGGTAGCCACAATGTTTGAAGGGACAAAAAATGTAGTAGGCATGAGCTTGAGAAATGAACTCCGAGGCCCAAACCAAAATGTAACTGATTGGTACAGGTATGTATATATTCAAACTCCTAAATGAAAGTAAGTATTATGTGTCATGGTAGATTCAAACGAAGGGTCATGGAGTGTATGGAAAACTTAGGCCACCGTCTACCGAAAGCTGGTGGCGGCGGTGGGTTTCGTCTAGCTCTAATGTGTAGTATGTTGTGTGTACCATCCCTGGTTTTGCTTAAAAGCTAAAAAAAGGGGTTTTTTTGTGCTTTTCTAAACAATATGACAGTCATGGACTGGGGATGCAGAGGGGAAGTGAAGGGACACCAACGAAAAAGAGTGTTCAAGCATATAATGCAACTTGAATGGCATTTGTGTACATGTTTCTCTTCTTATACTTTCATCTATTATGATGTAGGTACATGCAAAAAGGTGCTGAAGCAGTGCACGTTGCAAATCCTAATGTTCTCGTCATATTCTCTGGACTGAATTACGACAAAGATCTCTCTTTTACGCTCAACAAGCCCGTACAACTAACCTTCACTAACAAGCTAGTTTTTGAGGTACATTGGTATGGTTTCTCCAATGGAAAGGAATGGGAAACATCCAATCCAAACCAAGTTTGTGGGCAAGTTTTGGGTAACTTAATGGGGAATGCAGGGTTTGTTTTGGAGCAAGGGTACCCTTTGTTTGTGAGTGAGTTTGGAGTGGATATGAGGGGCACTAATGTCAATGACAATAGGTATTTCAATTGCTTCATGGGATGGGCAGCTGAATATGACTTGGATTGGGCATTGTGGACACTTGTTGGGAGTTATTATTTGAGAGAAGGGGTTGTGGGAATGAATGAATATTATGGGGTTTTGGATGAGAATTGGCATGATGTTAGAAACTCAAGCTTCCTGCAAAAGTTGTCTGTTCTGCAATCTCCTTTTCGAGGTATGTTTTAGAAAACCAGAAAATTAGACAATAAGATCGGTCGATTTGCAAAAATAAGAATAGAAGATTGCAACGACACATTTTATTCAACAATTAGTACTTTGGTCGATCTTTCTCTATTTCCTCGTGTGTGGACAGTGGAAGGGAGGGGAGAGGTGGTAGTGTCCTCCTCGAACCCTTGACCTTGGTCGTGCAAAGAACATTCCAACCAAGACAAGCTTAATTGGTTTGGCAGATCCTAGTGAGTCTTATTTAAACAATTCAGATGTAGCCTAATGATATAACTCAAGAAGCATACTTTTGAAATTAAGCAAAATAGCAAATAATGCATAAGGATGAAATTTGCCTTTAAATTGTATGATCTCGAAAGTCTTTGCCTTGAGTTTTGCTAAGAAATCCATTTCTACTTTAAGATTATAACTAAAATTCAAGCAATACAACTATAGTTTGGACTGACTCACTATATATATCCGTTTAACAAATTATTCTAATTTGTATTTTTGTGCTAAAAGCAGGGCCAGGTTACGACGAAGTTCGTCCTCATAAAGTAATTTTTCATCCAATGACTGGTCTCTGTATCCAAAGGAAATCACTTTATGAACCCTTGGTTTTAGGTCCATGCTCTGAGGCTGAAGCATGGTCATATACACCAGAGAAAACAATAACAATTAAGGGCACATATTTCTGTCTACAAGCAGATGAATTGGGGCTACCAGCAAAACTTGGTGTAATATGCAGTTATGCAAATTCAAAATGGGAAACTATCTCAGACTCTAAAATGCACCTATCTTCTACACTAGAAGATGGCAGCAGTGTCTGCTTGGACATCAACTCGAACAATTCCATTGTTACGATTGCTTGTAAATGCTTAAATAGAAACAGTACCTGTGACCCGGGACAGGGGCGGACGCAAAACTTTAACGTTGGGGGGACTCAATCGAACTTGCAAAGAAGTTGGTAGAATTTTTACANAACATTTTTCCAAATTCAAATGATAATTCAGCTATGTTTGCTAGATCCACGGACTACAGGAGAGACAATGGAAATAGAGGAGGTTTTAACAAAAATGTTTTGAGGTATAGATCAGGGAGAGGTAATACCAGGAGATTTGGAAATGGAAAAGAGCTTTATTACGGTGACCATTGTAACATGAAAGGTCATTATAGTGATGGCTGTTTCAAGATAATAGGGTATCCAGAATGGTACAAAACAACATTAGAACAGAGGCCTAGAATCTTTGGAGAGTGAAGATTCTCAGCAAATATGATTGAATTTTTAAAATTTGTATATTTCGAAATTCAAATTTATTTTTATTTTACTCTTGTTTGGTGGAGATTAAAATCAAATTTTTAGTAAATTTGGGTACAAATTAAATAATTATGAATTTCATGAAAATATGTTTTTAAATTTATTGTTAACTTTGATTTAGATTAAAATTTAAGTTTCAATCGATAACAAACGTGATTTAAAAAAAAATAATAATAAATCTCAAAAGTTGGGGGGCACCTGCCCCCCAGGACCCCCCTTGGGTCCGCCCATGACCGGGGAAGCCAGTGGTTCAAAATCATTGACAGCACAAGATGCACATCTGCTACGAAATCTTCAGTCGGGATCATCTCGATCTTCAATTTCATGGCAAAGAATCTGTTAGCAAGTTTTAGGTAGCAGCATGATACATAGAAGATTCATGAAACATTTAAATATGATGTTCACGTAGTTAACATGAAATATGAAATAAAGAGATTGTCATTGAAAAATAGAAATGATATGTTTGGTATACAGTACTCAATAGAGGAGACAATACAATTGACAATATTGGAGCTTCTTTTCTATCGTAACACTGTCGAATGCTGTCTAGTTTATTGATAAGTGTATTTTATACACTTATTTGTGCCGTCAAAATTAATTGGAGCAATTATGCATGACGGAGAGTTTCTAGCAAATTGCATCGAAGTAACATCTATATTCTCATCGTATAACAGAATGTACATCTCTTGAGTATCACCTAGCTGCTTTTAAAGAAATTGTCATTGATTTGGAGACCTTGGAGGTAAAATATGATGAAGAAGACTTGTGATTGATTTTGCTGTGTTCATTTCTTGCCTCATACATGTCTTTTAGAGATACGATACTATATAGTCATGATACTCTCACCATCGAAAAAGTCTACGATGCTCTATGTTCAAAAGAAAAAATGAAGCATCTTGTAGCATCTAGGGATCATGGAGATGGACTCATTGTTCATGGTGGTCGTTCGAGGGCAAGTCAAAATCTAACTTCAAATTCTGTAATTATTATAAGAAAAAATGGCACTTGGTAAACGATTGTTATAAGTTGTAGAATAAATCAAAGTCAACTACAAATCAACAATCAGAAACTTCAGAGGAAGCAAGTATTGCAGAAAAACGTGACAGTGATAGAGAGTTTCTACTTATGTCTGGTTACAATTCAAAACCTGATGAGGCTTAGATTTTGGATACAGCTTGCACTTTTCATATGTCACCAATCGGGAATTGTTTTCAACATATGAAGAAGTTTCAAAAGGTGTTGTGAGGACTGGTAATAACACACCTTGTTGGATAGTTGGTATTGGTTGGGTCAGAATAAAGATGTTTGATGCGACGAATGTTCCAAATCTAAATAAAAATCTCATCTCCTTAAATACTCTTTTATTCAAAATGGTACATGTATATTGTTGAAGGTGGAGTTTTGAAGGTTATTAAAAGAGCTCGTGTTGTTATGAAGGGACATAGAAAATCTCATTTATATATCTTGCAGGGTAAGAATCTTTAAGTAATCAGCATATTTTAAAAACTTAGGTGGATTTAGAATAGGCTTTTGTATCGTTGAAGTCTAATTTGAGGTCTTCATTTAAGAATACATCTAAGTTGGATTTTGAAGATATAGGTAAATCCGTCTTGCCACCATTATCGACGGTGTCATCGAATTCAATTGCTAGAAATAGACCCATTTTGGCTATAAGATTCCACATAGGTACGATTCTTCTAATTTTGTTTATGGTTTGAATGCGGTTAGGGGTATTAATTCTAGTCAAAATCATTCTTTTGATGCATTCAGTTGTGATTCTGTTACAGTACCTGTTTCAGCCTTGTTTGATGGTCATTAGATCACTTTTGTCCCTAATTGGTAGTAGAGGCGGAGAATATTTCCAATTTGAATTGTTGATGGAGAAGTTCGTTTGTATTTTTCATTGAAGAGTTCAAATTTATTCCTTGAAATAGAATTTGTCTCCGAGTAGAGAATTTTTGAAATTTTGTTCATTGCAATGAAATTCGTGTAAATGTGGAGATTGTTAGAATTTGGATGTGACCCAAATTCTTTGTTGAAGATAATTGTGAGTTCTAATTAAAGTGTACATTAATTATGATCATATTCAAGTTTTCTTGCCAAATTCTAATTGAAATTTTACTTGGGAACCCATTGAAAGTAGAAATTATTGTTGCTATTTTAGTCTCATTTTCCATTTTGGATTTCCTTTGGCATTCTGCTTCACCTACAACTCTACTATGAGAGTTTGGACGTCCCCTAATTGTTCCTTATATATAGTTGGCTCTTCACCGTATTTTAGAAGAAGAAAGAAAAATCATAAACACATAATCTTTATATTCTCTCTTCATATTATAATAAAAAATTTTCGCTCTTTGCAAATTATTGTATTATCGTGTTCTTGTAATCTATTATTTCATTTTGTGCTTAATCTCTTAATTTTTCACTACAAATTGGTATTAAACCATTCCAGTTTCCACAACAATTCAAATCACGAGTGTTAACTAGTTTGACATACTTTAAAAGTTCAAGGGATTTCAATTAAAGAACAAAAGTTTTTAGAACTCGGAAAATTTTAAATTTGAAAATTTGTAATAATATAAATGAATGTTACAACTCGTAGAAATTGATTCATCTTGAAAATAGAATGTTTCGAAGGTAAAACAACATAATAATACCAAATAAATTTTCTTAAACCACATATTGCATCTTCAAACAGACCTTCATAAATTGTCAAACTAGAAATCATTGTTCAAGAAAAATATAGTAAAATAAAAACATAACTAAATCATCTTATTACTTTACAAGATTAAGTGCATGCCTAGGAGAGATTGTAGTCAAATTTTAATTGGAATAGTGACTGTTAAGGCAGCCGATGGGACCCGCTTGTGAGGGGAGTGGTCAAAATGTGCGGCTGACTTGGGGTGCTAACGGTACAAAAATTTATTTTCTTTGGTTGAAACTGTGCGCCCAGACAAGGCCTAAAAGAGACCATCACTTCGTTGGATTTTTTTTTTCCTAAGATGATCACAACCCTAGAGAGCCTTGACCAACTTTGTCCTCCTTCAATCAAACCCCTATAAAATTTAATTAATTGGAGTGAGTATAAGATAAAACTAAATAAGACACAACTACGTTTATATAATCTAACATCAAATAATATAATGTGACATACTGATGTAACGTCTTCTATTGATTATTTCAATCTAAATTATGCGAGTCATCTCAATTTAATAAATATCCTAAATCATAGAGGGGTCAAAAATAAAAATAAAAAAATTGAAATCGACTCTTTTGAAGTGTAACCCTTTGATTTGTGATCCGTAGAGTCGGTGGTCCAATAAATCCAAAAGCTATTACTTTAGTAAGTGTGCACTGTACACTGCCTTGTAAGTCTTCCAAAGGACATCATCTCTTAGGTTAGGCATGCGTGACAATGTGGCTATATTTATATTTTTTTCTTAAAAGAGTCTTTCCAACATCAATTCACAGTGAATATGAAAAATATCCAACTAGGTGGGTACCACCAAATAGACAAAATAAATCGTCTTTCGATAAGGCACGTATAAAATTAGACAAAGGTCCCGAACTTAAGTATGTTAAAAATATAGACATAAAATGAGAAATAGATGTTGAGTAAGTATTGTTCCTAAGAAGTTTAGCATATGTTCGTCAAACATTAAAATTTACTTTTTTTTTTTATGCAATCGAAGTCAAACTTTAATTTTAATAACATGTTCATAATGACTATCTATTTGTTAATTACACATTTCGTGGGATCAATATTCTTCCTCCTAAAATTTACAAATAATTTTATCTGAATACTCACTTAGAATTAATATGATAATTTCTTTTTCCATTTCGTTCAATTCATTGCAAAATGTGAGTAAAAGCAACTAAATCGTTAACTACAACAGATATATTAGGTTTATTGTATCTCTCTTACCTAAATTGTTCCAACGAGATCCGATTACTTTTATACATGTGAGCCTCTTAAAGCTCGCATAATATGTGCCACCACGTAATAAAAAACTATTGAACCTTATGACATGAATCCCATCCAAAGGATTTTCTTTAAGCCCCGAACACACGATCACATCAAAATGGCATTTCGTGGGAACAACTTGTAGGAATGACCAGGAATTCATCCTAAAGTACGTGACATAGGCTGACCACACGGGTAGATTTGACATAATTTTCAATCTTTTCGTCCACGGTTAATTTGTCCCTTAACTAGTTAATCAACGAAAATAACTAGTTAGTATTCATAACCTTCAAAGCGATGTTCGATACATAATACTTGACAAAATTAAATAGTACAACATTCAGATCCATTCTCATGCCTCGTTGTGAAAGGTGAAAAAAATAATATATAAAGTGAATATCGCCCGTCCACTTTATCAAATACGTCGTTAAGATGGAGTCTTGAGCTCTATTTTGTCTTAGGCCCTAATGCCATGCCTTTTCTCAAACTCCTTGCTAGGCTTGAAATC